ACAGTCGGGAAAGAGGTCATTTCCAAGGTGTCTGGCCAGAGCAATTTACAACGATCAGTTTTCTTTATCTGTTTGATTTTACACAGTGCACACAGGGATTATACGGGGAGCACAGAACACACACAGGACCTCCCTAGCCTAGCCGATACTGGAGCTTCTCCGGTTGACTCCTAAGTGCCCTTGCCAGTGGATTTCCTGGCACTCCATCCTCCCCAAATTATCCCACGGTCCAAACAATAGCGATTACACACAACATACACAGGACCTCCCTAGCCTAACCGATACTGGAGCTTCTCCGGTTGACTCCTAAGTGCCCTTGCCAGTGGATTTCCTGGCACTCCATCCTCCCCAAATTATCCCACAGTCCAAACAATAGCGATTACACACAATACACACAGGACCTCCCTGACCTAACCGATACTGGAGCTTCTCCGGTTGACTCCTAAGTGCCCTTGCCAGTGGATTTCCTGGCACTCCATCCTCCCCAAATTATCCCACGGTCCAAACAATAGCGATTACACACAACACACACACGACCTCCCTAGCCTAACCGATACTGGAGCTTCTCCGGTTGACTCCTAAGTGCCCTTGCCAGTGGATTTCCTGGCACTCCATCCTCCCCAAATTATCCCACGGTCCAAACAATAGCGATTACACACAACATACACAGGACCTCCCTAGCCTAACCGATACTGGAGCTTCTCCGGTTGACTCCTAAGTGCCCTTGCCAGTGGATTTCCTGGCACTCCATCCTCCCCAAATTATCCCACGGTCCAACAATAGCGATTACACACAACACACACCGGACCTCCCTAGCCTAGCCGATACTGGAGCTTCTCCGGTTGACTCCTAAGTGCCCTTGCCAGTGGATTTCCTGGCACTCCATCCTCCCCAAATTATCCCACGGTCCAAATAATAGCGATTACACACAATACACACAGGACCTCCCTGACCTAACCGATACTGGAGCTTCTCCGGTTGACTCCTAAGTGCCCTTGCCAGTGGATTTCCTGGCACTCCATCCTCCCCGAATTATCCCACGGTCCAAACGATAGCGATTATACACAACACATACAGGACCTCCCTAGCCCAACCGATACTGGAGCTCCTCCGGTTGACTCCCAAATGCCCTCGCCAGCGGATTTCCTGGCACTCCACTAATCAATTTACCAACGGTCCGCACACAAGCAACACACTAGACCTTGTTGCACACGAAATATATGTAATTTTATTCTACATGGACACTGCAAAGGGATGGAACCGGGGAGATAGATGATGCACGTCACGCCCCTGTGCGTGGAGAATCCACCGACGCGGCCATGGGTTAGGAGGGAGATGAGACGCGAGTAGAGACGCGGACTGTACAAATAGAAAAATCGGGTTTCCCGAATGGCGCTAAACTCGGACAGACCCCACTAGATATAAGGCCTCGATTGAGTAAGCCCTGGATGCGTGCAATAAGTCGCGAAATTAAACGTGAGGATGAAGGCGAGTCGGGCACAGACCGCCGAGGAGGGTTTCAAGAAATGTTACCCGGTCAGCCTCGTGTCCTGGCTCGGAGGGGACGACGGGCTGTAGTCTGTCTAACCTCTGGCTAGCGGGACACGGGACCAGTGGCCCGATTGTTCCGGCCCAGGGTAGGCCTGGGTGATAATTAAGGTCACGTGGGCCGTCGCCTGGGATGTGTATCGGCGGGTGGGCCGCCGCGAGATGACGGTGTTCCGTCTCGGATTAACAGCCTCGGAGGCTGGGCAGATTTTAGGCTGCCGGGCTGGCCCGGAAGCCCTGAACTATGACTGGAGCGAGATGCGGTCATCAGTATCACGGATGGACCTTAGTTACCCAGCCCGGTTTCAAAAAGATAGGTAGGCCCGCTATCGGTCCCTCAAGTGGTCGGCGCGGGACGTCATTTGAAGAGCGACATAGATAGTTTCGGAGGTGGTTAGGACCCCGGGCGTCTTAGCGAGGGAATCGTATGCCGCCGGAAGAGTAATGCCCCGCGAAGGAACGTATAATGCCGCAAGACGGGGGTGAACATTAGATACCGAGCATTCGAGTCGGGTGATCGCAGTCAGACGGTGCTGGCCACCCGCAGTCAGTCGAGTAGCTCCGGCCATGCTCTGGTCCTTTCGAATAGGTCTGTGACGACAGCTTAACTACCAGCCACGGATAGATAGGGCTTTGGACGCCTATGTGCTGGTAGTCGACGATGTGTGTTGAGTGCAGGATATCCCCGAGTGGACCTGCGTGCGTGGAAGACGCGTGTCGTCTTTGTAGTTAAGCCGACGAGAGCTAACCTTTTTTTAGGTCGCCGGGTTGGCCCGGAAACCCTGAACTATGGCTGGTGCGAGATGCGGTCATTAGTATCACGGACGGACTTTAGTTACCCAACCCGGCTTTCAAATTTTAGATACGTCCGCCGCGGAAAGCCCGGGCTACTGAGTGCCCTGCGAGCTCTAGCTCCGGAACCGTGGGCTGGAGTGTGTTAGAGATGCTGACTGACCACTGGCAGCAGAAGGTAGGTCCACGCGTGAGTGGCAGTAAGACAAGGGCTGCGTACGTTGTTGCAAAGGTTTACCGGCCCATGCTGTAAGTCCATTGTTCGCTCAACAACCTGCGTGCGTGTGTGTTTATTATTTGTGTGTAGGTAGTTCGGCATGGTCTTGGACCCGCTATAAGTCGCGTAATTCAAGGGCGGAGTGCCGAAATCTGTGGTGGTTCGTATATTCTATTCGTGTAGCGTGAGCATTATGAAGCGTTTGTCTGATGTACGGAGCATTGTGGTTATGAAGGGATAACGGTTAATGAAATTTAAGGCCAATGACTCAATAATGACTTGCGCACGCCTTAGCACCACCGGGGGAAGTTAGGCAAAGAGGGAGGGATCGGAGACGGCTAACTCTGATAATTATGAGGTATAACTGGACGTATGACAGAAGTGAGAAGGGATGCACGAGTGGAAGTATGATTGTTGTGTATATCCGGTGGGAGATAGCCCTCAGCTAGGAAAGGCGCTGTTGTTTGAGAGTGGGACTTTTTGTTAAATAGAGTTGATTTTCTATACCAATATGATCGAGGGTAATTGATTATCATTTATCATTATCTCCCATTCCCTAACCCTGGCCTATGTGTTTCCGATGATTGATCGCCCCGGAGAATGCAAAGACAGAGTCGGGACGAGTTCGCGAGGGGCTGAACCGAGAAGGGCTTTTACGAGTAGAAGCGCACCCACTAGGCCGATTTTAACACCCCCACTCGAGCCAGCCCACCTGCTGAGAAGCGACCGCCCGGTTAGCCCCGCAACGCCGCGAAATCCCGCTACAGATTTGGCGCACCCAACGTGGGGTAGGATCAATCAAAGGAATCATGAAGTCGGTGGACGGACGTGCATTGCCGAACCCAAAGCTAAAATTTCAGAGGAAATGCGAGCGTGAGTGAGAAAACGTATTATGTCTGAGCTAGATGCAGTGGGAGCTGGTCACTCAGTGCAGCGTTACTCGGGTTAAATTGATTTGATTGAAATCAGAAAGCGTGGATTGCTGGAGGGTGTATATCATGAAGTGATAAGGGTAAATCGAGGATCAATTTTAAGTGACGGGCGAGCGGGCTTGGTATATTTTTTTCGGCTACAGGTATCGCTAACTAAAATTATGTGGCTCACATCTAGCGAACCCTAACCTTGAGTGAAATCCCGTGATCCAAAGTTAGAGTAATCACACCGAGGATGCCATTTTTAACCCAATTTTTAAGAGATTGTACCCATCCTATACCAAAAAGGTGCAGTGACCTATGTGTGACCCGTGGACTGACCCGCCTCTGGAGAGAACTGACAGGAGACCGGCAACCGTCCACGAGCCGTTCTCCGTGACGGAAACCCCCGTTACAGAACAGGCAGTCATGTATGTTGCCGAACCCAATGAACGTACTAAAAATACGACTGAGCACGACGCTATGAAGAAATTGAATGTGCTGAAATGAAAATCAGGATTGAAGAAGGCAAAAGTCACCAATAGGACGCAGCATACTGAAATGAAGGTGACAGCGCAGATTGTAAATGATTGAGGCACGTTTTAGAAGCAGTATGGAAAGCTGAATTGCGATAAGAACAAGAAGGACAACACACAGCCGAGTGACGGCGAGAAAGAAGACATTGAAGTAGTATACCGATGGAAACGACGTTGATACTAAATGGCAATGGATACATGCAATCACAGAAAGGAAACGACAGCTGAGAAGAGTAAAATGCAAATGATTGAAGAACTGTAACATCACGAAGCCATTTGGAAGAGCAAACGTGCAGCACAGAGAAGAAGAGACGCCGACAAAAGAACAGAAAAAAGGTAGTCATCAACAGCGACTGCCTGACAGCCAGTGCCCAATGGAACTCAAAATGAAGGCAACGCCGGAAATAAATAACAACAGAAGACCGGAAGAAGGAGAAGGAGACACGAATAGAACCAAAACTACAATGTTGTCAGCAGTTACATCGCACGTCTGTGACGACAAAATCAGACGGCAACCGGAGTAATGGTGACGACAACTACAACCATGAAGCATCATTAGACACGACCATTCAGGGACACTTCAATGCTGCCTGTTTCAACCAAAATGGACAGCTGTAATGGACCGGGTCAGTCTGCGGGCCGATTTCTGGACCGCCCGCCGCACTGGCAGGCGGTGATCCGCCGTTCATCAATTGCAGGTGGCTCCCATTTCCCAAACTTCGAGACCGATCATGTGATCTGCAGCAGGCCGGAGCGATGTTCTCAACGTCACAGCCAAGTAATCATGGAGCAGGCTGCAGTGGAACCACACCTGCCGCCAGATGTGACAGCCAAACCATCATCGGCAGTCTACACCAGAGCGCAGCCTCTGCGGCCACCAGACCAGCAGAAACAGCTTGGAAGCCACGTTCAACCCAGGCTCAGCCACAGACGACGAGTTCTGGGCCGATCATAGCCAGCCCTGACAGCTCACCAGGGCAGCTGCGTACGACATCGATGGTCGGCGAGGACTACGACTACAACTACGAGACTGGGGAAATCCGGAACTGGGACACGACTACAGCAGCAGCCGGCCGGTTCGAGACCAAATCGCGGACGACCGCCAGTCCGTCATCGCGGCCATCCCGGACCGGAGCTGTCGTGGCTCATGGAGCCACCATCAGGTGCCGGGCTCACTTCTTTGGCATACCACAATCTGCACCGGTATGTTATCGCTAATTTGATCGAATTATAGTGACCAAATGTACCAATGTTATTTTTTTGTATTGTCATGTGTTAATTATTTCAATGGTTTCATTCAATTTCCATTGTTTTGCGCGCAAATAATTTGATGTGTAGTTGGTGGTGTATTACGGGATAGTACGTGAATGTTTTTAATTCTGGAAATGTAAGGATGGCCTGAAATACTGTGCAATGACACAAAAACCCGCACTCCTTTTGTCCCAATCATCCAAGCTCGTATTATGCCATCCTCCCCAACCGAACACTCCTGTTGAATTAGCTACCAATCCTTTAGAAGACGGCCACCCGCCCTCGTCACAGAAGTCACCAAGAAACACGACGAAACGGCACCAAATAGCACGGCAGAAGCGGGCTCTCAAACGTTTAGTCGCGGGGCGCGACTATAAAAAGAGGTCTGAAAATGTAACGCAGATGCGTTACATTTTTTTCATCTTTCATGCTGAACTGCAAGCTGTGCCACAAGCTGAAACACGGCCATCTGCGAGCGCCGCACAGACACGGTCAGCCGGCTAAATCGGCTGTGATACCCTCTCTCCGTCCCAGCTGCCGTCCACACAGACGGCGCAGTAGGCTCTGACAAACAGGGGTCCTCTATAGATGACCACCCCACTTCATGAGAACCCGGATCTGAAGCCAACAAATAGCATACCGAAACGCGCCATTCTGCCAGCCTCGAGCCATTAATCAGTTTAGCCTTTGGAAAACAAGACTCTGTCCCACGCTCGGCACCCCGCCAGAGAACAAGGAGAGGGGAGTGCAGACCGGCCCTGATTTGAACCAAAACAAGAAAGGGGAGCGGGGACCGACCCGGTTTGTACGAAAACAGGATGAAATGGAACTCGGTCGCCAACGACAAAATATAGGACATCTGGCCGGAGCTGACTTCAAAACAAGGGGGAGCGGAGGGCCAGGCCCGCCACCTGGCACCTCAGGCGCCGTGAGCGCCGGCGGCGAATTCCACCCGATCGCCACGTGAAAGGGTGCGACTGCATGGCCGGGGGTGCCGAACTTCAGCAAATCACGAACGTTTGAAGGCGGAGCCAAACGCACTTTCTGAGAATGGAGGACGAAGATTGGACAAGGAGATGCTGCCCGGCCCTCTGAAGTATGACGTCATCAAAAGTATAAGTTGATGAAACGGAACTGGAACGCTCTCTGGTCCTCGCTCTCTCGGACGACGCATCCCGCGCCGGTGGCACTCTCGGCCCACGTCTCTCGTCTGACATCGCGGACAGCCCACGAGACACCAGCGGCTGGCATCACGGCGCCGGCGGCGGCTCTGGCCGCCGGGCCGGGCGCTGGACGGACACGACCATCATGTCAGCGACTCCATCTCAAGTAAGGTCACGCGGTGAACACGGGTGCGCACCTAGTCCCTAAAATCCTTCAAGTAACCCCCCCCCCTCGTTACTGCTATGTGAGCCACATTATATTCCCCTTTTTAGGTGTCGTCTGCAATGTTTTAGGCCATTCAGTTTAGGTAGTTAAATTTATTCTTGGGACTTTCAGTCTAGGTAGCTTAAGTTCACAATTCGATTTCGGTAAACTATGTAACTGTGCGCGTGGCGCGAGACGCGTGCCGACGTGGACCCTCGTCCGGCGCCCCGTGGTGATTAAGGCGGACGGAGGGGATTATACACCGTGGGGAGTCTGGAAAGGGACGGGCGACTGTGTACCGCACCGCGCGGCTTGTGGGGCTCAGTTGATGGGCGGCCTGGGCCCAGAATGTTTCTTTTAAATTTGACGTGTAAGGGAATTTAAGGTGTTGCGTCGGAGTATGTAAATAAATGGGACTTGTAAATATTGAAATACGAGTGTGAGTATAGTGCTGAAGGGCAGGGATCGGAGGATGGAGCATAAAAGGCCATATGCCAACCCACAGTCGGGAAAGAGGTCATTTCCAAGGTGTCTGGCCAGAGCAATTTACAACGATCAGTTTTCTTTATCTGTTTGATTTTACACAGTGCACACAGGGATTATACGGGGAGCACAGAACACACACAGGACCTCCCTAGCCTAGCCGATACTGGAGCTTCTCCGGTTGACTCCTAAGTGCCCTTGCCAGTGGATTTCCTGGCACTCCATCCTCCCCAAATTATCCCACGGTCCAAACAATAGCGATTACACACAACATACACAGGACCTCCCTAGCCTAACCGATACTGGAGCTTCTCCGGTTGACTCCTAAGTGCCCTTGCCAGTGGATTTCCTGGCACTCCATCCTCCCCAAATTATCCCACAGTCCAAACAATAGCGATTACACACAATACACACAGGACCTCCCTGACCTAACCGATACTGGAGCTTCTCCGGTTGACTCCTAAGTGCCCTTGCCAGTGGATTTCCTGGCACTCCATCCTCCCCAAATTATCCCACGGTCCAAACAATAGCGATTACACACAACACACACACGACCTCCCTAGCCTAACCGATACTGGAGCTTCTCCGGTTGACTCCTAAGTGCCCTTGCCAGTGGATTTCCTGGCACTCCATCCTCCCCAAATTATCCCACGGTCCAAACAATAGCGATTACACACAACATACACAGGACCTCCCTAGCCTAACCGATACTGGAGCTTCTCCGGTTGACTCCTAAGTGCCCTTGCCAGTGGATTTCCTGGCACTCCATCCTCCCCAAATTATCCCACGGTCCAACAATAGCGATTACACACAACACACACCGGACCTCCCTAGCCTAGCCGATACTGGAGCTTCTCCGGTTGACTCCTAAGTGCCCTTGCCAGTGGATTTCCTGGCACTCCATCCTCCCCAAATTATCCCACGGTCCAAATAATAGCGATTACACACAATACACACAGGACCTCCCTGACCTAACCGATACTGGAGCTTCTCCGGTTGACTCCTAAGTGCCCTTGCCAGTGGATTTCCTGGCACTCCATCCTCCCCGAATTATCCCACGGTCCAAACGATAGCGATTATACACAACACATACATGACCTCCCTAGCCCAACCGATACTGGAGCTCCTCCGGTTGACTCCCAAATGCCCTCGCCAGCGGATTTCCTGGCACTCCACTAATCAATTTACCAACGGTCCGCACACAAGCAACACACTAGACCTTGTTGCACACGAAATATATGTAATTTTATTCTACATGGACACTGCAAGGGATGGAACCGGGGAGATAGATGATGCACGTCACGCCCCTGTGCGTGGAGAATCCACCGACGCGGCCATGGGTTAGGAGGGAGATGAGACGCGAGTAGAGACGCGGACTGTACAAATAGAAAAATCGGGTTTCCCGAATGGCGCTAAACTCGGACAGACCCCACTAGATATAAGGCCTCGATTGAGTAAGCCCTGGATGCGTGCAATAAGTCGCGAAATTAAACGTGAGGATGAAGGCGAGTCGGGCACAGACCGCCGAGGAGGGTTTCAAGAAATGTTACCCGGTCAGCCTCGTGTCCTGGCTCGGAGGGGACGACGGGCTGTAGTCTGTCTAACCTCTGGCTAGCGGGACACGGGACCAGTGGCCCGATTGTTCCGGCCCAGGGTAGGCCTGGGTGATAATTAAGGTCACGTGGGCCGTCGCCTGGGATGTGTATCGGCGGGTGGGCCGCCGCGAGATGACGGTGTTCCGTCTCGGATTAACAGCCTCGGAGGCTGGGCAGATTTTAGGCTGCCGGGCTGGCCCGGAAGCCCTGAACTATGACTGGAGCGAGATGCGGTCATCAGTATCACGGATGGACCTTAGTTACCCAGCCCGGTTTCAAAAAGATAGGTAGGCCCGCTATCGGTCCCTCAAGTGGTCGGCGCGGGACGTCATTTGAAGAGCGACATAGATAGTTTCGGAGGTGGTTAGGACCCCGGGCGTCTTAGCGAGGGAATCGTATGCCGCCGGAAGAGTAATGCCCCGCGAAGGAACGTATAATGCCGCAAGACGGGGGTGAACATTAGATACCGAGCATTCGAGTCGGGTGATCGCAGTCAGACGGTGCTGGCCACCCGCAGTCAGTCGAGTAGCTCCGGCCATGCTCTGGTCCTTTCGAATAGGTCTGTGACGACAGCTTAACTACCAGCCACGGATAGATAGGGCTTTGGACGCCTATGTGCTGGTAGTCGACGATGTGTGTTGAGTGCAGGATATCCCCGAGTGGACCTGCGTGCGTGGAAGACGCGTGTCGTCTTTGTAGTTAGCCGACGAGAGCTAACCTTTTTTTAGGTCGCCGGGTTGGCCCGGAAACCCTGAACTATGGCTGGTGCGAGATGCGGTCATTAGTATCACGGACGGACTTTAGTTACCCAACCCGGCTTTCAAATTTTAGATACGTCCGCCGCGGAAAGCCCGGGCTACTGAGTGCCCTGCGAGCTCTAGCTCCGGAACCGTGGGCTGGAGTGTGTTAGAGATGCTGACTGACCACTGGCAGCAGAAGGTAGGTCCACGCGTGAGTGGCAGTAAGACAAGGGCTGCGTACGTTGTTGCAAAGGTTTACCGGCCCATGCTGTAAGTCCATTGTTCGCTCAACAACCTGCGTGCGTGTGTGTTTATTATTTGTGTGTAGGTAGTTCGGCATGGTCTTGGACCCGCTATAAGTCGCGTAATTCAAGGGCGGAGTGCCGAAATCTGTGGTGGTTCGTATATTCTATTCGTGTAGCGTGAGCATTATGAAGCGTTTGTCTGATGTACGGAGCATTGTGGTTATGAAGGGATAACGGTTAATGAAATTTAAGGCCAATGACTCAATAATGACTTGCGCACGCCTTAGCACCACCGGGGGAAGTTAGGCAAAGAGGGAGGGATCGGAGACGGCTAACTCTGATAATTATGAGGTATAACTGGACGTATGACAGAAGTGAGAAGGGATGCACGAGTGGAAGTATGATTGTTGTGTATATCCGGTGGGAGATAGCCCTCAGCTAGGAAAGGCGCTGTTGTTTGAGAGTGGGACTTTTTGTTAAATAGAGTTGATTTTCTATACCAATATGATCGAGGGTAATTG